TCAAGCGAATGGCAAAGAGAGCTAGTCTTACTCGAGATTATGGAAACACCATAACAACTCCACGAGAATTTTATAACTGGTCAGTTGAACAAACAGATAAAAATATCACAAAACTACGCTTCGAGTACATATCCACTGAACAGTACATCGAAATGTCAGAAGAACTCGAAGAACTATATAATAGCACAAAGACAATTTTTTCCTTAAAAGTGTTTCTCTCGCGATGCATGGACGGTTAATAGTAAACATAATTACCTATATTGAGACAAAGTTTCGTCAATTTTTTCGATTTTTTCGATTTCTTTCAATGTAGGTCTCTAAAGAATTTTTTTTTCAGTATTTTTTTCAATAATTTGGACAATCTCCTAAAAGTCATCCATACAACACATTTTTGTAGGAGTTGTCATTTTCCAAAATATTTTTTTGAAAAAAATCGGCAAAAAAGTTTGGCCCTTCTCAAAGGTTAGTCTAGATAAATTTTGGAAAACTAAGTATATGCAAAATGGCTTATTTAGTCAAGGTCCACACATCCAGAAAGTTTCATTGAAATCTGAGAGGGTGCTGCCAGCACCGAATACGATTTGGCGCGAAATGCGTCAAAAGCGCTTTTCGCAGTAAATCGGTGATAATTTTCAAACAAGCAACAGTTGCACATTCGTGCAATTTTCAATAGTGACCTTTAAGAAATTGATAAAGTGTTCATTTCAGCAGAGTTTTACATGCCATTCCAATCGATTGGCTCGTTTAGGATTAATATCCATCCGCTATGGACAGAGCTATAAGTGGTCAAAACCTGACCACTTTTCGTAACGCGGTCGATTTTGGTTTTTTTTTAAATTGCACCCCCAATATGTTGCCGAAAGACGTAATACTACGTAAAAAAATAACAGCTTATGCTTTAAAGAAGCAGTCAGCAGCAAGATAATTTTTAACTGGAGTTTTCAAACTATTTTATCTGTCAAAGAACAGCTCATGCTGTTAAGAAGGAGTCAACTCCAATAGAAAAATTATATGTGATTAATTCAATAGAATTTTTTAACTATTTTATTTTTCAAAGAACTACTTAACATATAAAGAAGTAGTCAACTTAAAGAGAAAAATAATTTGTCTCAGATCTCACACAATAGACATGGAGTTCTAGTCATAACCCTCAGAGTTCATCCCAAAACTCATTGGGACTTTTAATTCACTGTAGGTCATTTGAAAAATTGTGACTATGGCATGACCAAAGACTCCCGGGTAACTAACTCAGTAGCATGAGACCCCTGAACTGTGTCGCAGGGCCGGCATGATACTAGGTATTCGGAGGGGCTACGCGCGCAAAGTATGAAAACAGGAATATTCACATTTTCTATAACATTTATTTGCCCTTTTTCTGTGGCGTGTGGATGTTGGTTTTCACATATTTGTGTGGCGTGTAAGCGAGAGTTACACTGTTTCAGCAGAATCTCCTTCGGCGTCGCGACGTTGGCGTTGGCCCACACGGCCGGAAACTTGCGGCGCGAGAATGGCGGATCTGGTGGCAAAACATCAGCCACATACGGCTCAGCAGGCGTTACTGCCTCGTTTGACTGACAGGCGTCTTCCATCGTTGACAACATCGGCTGACCGTGGCATGGCCACCTTGGTCGAGCCGAGACGGGACCCTCCTTGGCAGTTAAGTCCCTGATGGACGATTGAGGATCATTAACGATTAGGCTCGGAAGCCATCTTGACTTCCGAGCCGAGCAGTGTAAGACCGAGGTCCTGCGAATTATTACTATTCAGTCAGAGAAATTTCCATCAGGATAATAAAAATCAATTACCTGAACGAAGGCAGGCTTTGCAGCCCAAACCCCATAAGGTGGGGGGAGGGGGGGTTGTATTATATATGCACTGCACTTCACGCTCAACTGGTCTATATGGACGCCTCATTAGAAGGTATCGATAACAATGCTTCCGATTGTTGATTTTCAACAAGAAACTATTGAAAAAGTGGTAAAAGTTCAGCATTGCCCAAAAGCGTCGAATAAACTAATAAATCGACCAATTACGTACATGCTTATGCTGCTTTTCCAACACAGTCATCAGAGAATCATTCCCAGACAAAACTTGTCGATGTAGCATTACGATGAGGCTCGGTAGCTCAGTGGTTACCGTTTCTGCTTACTGAGCAGAAGGTCGGGGTTCAATCCCAGGCTCGTCCCCATCCTTGCAATTTTTCACTTTTCTTATCCAATCCCCAACAAGATTTAAATAAAAACAAATTCTGTTTTACCCGATCGCATCACTTACCACACAGCCGTGAAGATGTTGAGGAATTCTCGGTAGTAACAACCGTGCAAGTTGCTTAGTTCTGATCATTCACGGAGGAGCAACTAAGATGGTCGGATAACGTTAACTCGACGGCAAACTTTCATTAATACCATTGTTGTTGTGGATGATAGAAGAGAATAGCAGAAATAGGAAAGTGACGCCATGGTGATTATGTTTTTTTACGATTTACCAACGTTTGTAATTATTTAGCATTAAGTCACATTGAAATCAAACCAAAACAAACTTAAGTAGTTAAGTCTAACACAAATTTAAATAACAGAAAACACCAACCGTCACCACAATAATACACTACACTGTACGATCGACCCACAAGCTATTGTACACGCAGAGATACCAGGCTTATTTTGAAAAAAACTGGTACAATCCGAAAAAAATGTCTGGCTAAAATCTGGCACAGCAAATTAACATAGGAAGCTGCCAGATTTAAAAAAAAAATCTGTCTGTCAGAGCTTAACTTTCTCTGGCTGTGCCAGATAAATCTGGCAACCTGGCAACGCTGTGTACACGCAAAACCCATTCAATGAAAACAAAGCTACACAATCCCACAGTGATGGAAAAGTTCGCAAAAAATCACTATGACTCGCGAACTTTTCCCTTGGAGAACTTCGTGAAATATCGCGAACTTTTCCAACACTGCAATCCCATCAGTACAAAATATAAAGCCAAAGCAACCGGTAGCAAACTCAAGTCGTTCCCTTTATTCCGAGCAAATAAGGCAAACCCCCTCAGTGCAGTAAATTCGAGTGATCTTTCGAAGTCCGAACCTTATCTCGGTGTTATCCAAAGGTGACAATAAATCGATCACGGGATCGATTGAAATCGTGAATTTCGAACGTGATATTCACAGTGGGTGACTCGTGGTGAAGAAAACCCACCACGGTTATACAAGAAAGAGCATTGTGATACCAGTGAAGTGTGCTGCATTTGATAACGGCGCCAAATGTTGACCCCAGTACGGAATGTGATAGTACGTACTGTGTGAGGAACAAAGGTTTGCAAGAAGTTCAAAGGCGAAGAACGATCGAATCGTTTCTATCTGTAGGATAGGCGCAACGTAGAAGTTGTGTATTTATCAGCTGTAGTGGTACATAGGCTCGTTCAATTAGCCAATTTGTTAAATTGATAAATAGCTTTAGGTGTGCTTTACAGTGTCGCACACACTTTTTGGCACGGTGGAAAACCTACAAAATTGATAGACCTAAATTGATTTCAAGCTTCCTACGATTGTGCGGTGGCGTTCTAGCGGATCCACGAAACGTATTAAAGGAGACTCGTAATCGCGTCGGGAAGGATTATTCGATTATTCATTACTAATTTACGTGATCTCTTTCGGTCGTTCGTTCGGTGTCCGTGTAGAAGCACCACCTGTCGCGACGGGAAGGAGCTATACGTACGAATATCCGTGGTGTTTCCGTCGTAATTCGCGGTTGAGCAGCACAACGTGACGGGAAGGATATATCGTTCGATTTCTTGTGTTGTTCACGTCATGCGTGCTCGGAGAAGCACCAGCTGTTTCAATGTCAGACGTTTGCTAACCTACCTGTCATGCAGCGTCGTGAGTTGATATCGCAGCGAAGTCTATGTTGGAACTGTTTCCGCCCGAACCACCAAGCGAAGGTGTGCAAATCAAAGTTCTCATGCAGATCGTGTCACGCTAAACACCACACGTTGTTGCACGACCAAGCTGCACCTCCAAAGGTGTTACCGAATCCTGCACCCAAGGTTGCTACCGCCGGCTCGTCGAATACACCTACGCAGCAACCAATTCTAACCACGTCAGCGAACGTGGGGACCGTTGGATCATCGAGTCCACCCAAAACGAACCTCTCTGTCCAGTCAAGCAGAAGCACGGTCCTCTTGGAAACGGTTGTGCTCAACATCGTCGACAAGCACGGTAAATAAATATCTATTCGAGCTCTTCTCGATTCTGCTGCGATGTCAAACTTCAATACCAAGAAGCTGGCAAATGCACTTGCCACCCGTCAAGCCCCGGTCGATGTCGCAGTAGCCGGAATAGGAGAATCTGTGAAGCAAATCAAGCGGCAAATCGCAGCAACGATTAAATCACGAACCACGTCCTATTCCACCACACTCGAACTCTTGATCATGAAAAAGCCCACGGCCAATCTACCAACGATTGCCATCAATTCCGCATCGTGGAACATACCAAAGGTTCCACTGGCCGATCCAACCTTCAACGTTCCAGGCATGATCGACATTATCATCGGTGGAGAGTGTTATCATGAGATGCACACTGGTAACCGCCTGTCACTCGGTGACGGTTTACCTTTCCTAATCGACACCCTTTTTGGATGGACACAGTATTTGGAAAAACTGCCATCAATTCCGCTGTTTCCCCACCCGCCTGCTACTTATCGACTGTCGATCGATCGCTCGAAACAACGCTTCAGAGATTCTGGGAACTCGAAGCTGTCGATCATGGCCTGGCGTATTCCACCGAAGAAAAGCAATGTGAAGAAATCTATGCCAACACTACCACCCGAACTCACTCCGGAAGGTACGTCGTACGCCTTCCTCGGTCCGAAGATCCGCAAGTCACCCTCGGCGAATCTCGAGCAATTTCCACCCGTCGTTTCCACAGTCTCGAGCGACGCCTAGAGAAAGATTCCGCCTTAAAGCAAACCTACCACGAGTTTATCGACGAATATCTACGCCTTGGCCATATGCGGAAACTCACTATTGTTGACGACGATTTGCCACACTGTTACCTACCACACCACCCGGTGTTCAAGCAGAGTAGTACCACCACCAAGGTCCGTGTGGTGTTCGACGCCTCCTGCAAGACCTCTTCCGCAGTATCACTGAACGACACGCTTCTCGTCGATCCAGTTGTACAACAGCATCTCGTCAACATTACCATTCGCTTCCGCTTCCATGCTATCGCCTTCGTTGCCGGCGTGGAAAAGATGTATCGACAAGTTCTTCATTATCCCATTGATCAGCAGTTGTTGCGCATCCTGTTTCGTCGTAATCCGTCGGATCCACTCGACACATATGAACTCCTCACGGTCACGTACGGTACCGCATCAGCTCCATACTTGGCAACTCGAACCCTGCTACAGTTGGCCAAAGACGAAGGAGACAAGTATCCGGAAGCCGTTCAACCTGTCATCGAAGATTTTTATGGTGATGACCTTCTCTCCGGTGCAGACGACCTGGATGCTGCTATCGAAAAACGTCACCAAATTACGGATATGCTTGCATCAGCTGGATTCCCATTGAGAAAGTGGGCGTCCAACGTTCCGGAAGCTTTGACTGGAATACCACTCGAAGACTTGGCAATCAAACCCCTCTTCGATTTGCAAGGTGACCAATCAGTGTCCACGCTTGGACTTGTTTGGGATACAAGAACGGACATGTTGAGATTCAACGTCGAAATGCTACTTCCTGCAGCGGTGCTTACAAAGCGTAAGGTAATATCATGCATCGCTAGAATCTTCGATCCACTAGGCCTCGTCGGCCCGGTTATTGCTACTGCTAAGATGTTTATGCAACGGCTCTGGAAGCTAAAAGGCGAGGATAATCAACCCTACGAGTGGGACAGACCTCTTCCATCGAAACTGCAAGAATAATGGAAAAGATATCAGGCCACGCTGGACATCCTCTCGGAACTACGATTTCCTCGTTTCGTTTCTTTCGCCGATGCACCCAGAATTCAGCTTCATTTGTTCTCCGATGCGTCAGAGTTGGCATACGGCGCCTGTTGTTACGTTCGTTCTGAGAATGATGATCGTATCCACGTGCAACTCCTGACATCCAAGTCAAAGGTTGCTCCACTCGCCACTAAACATTCCATCGCTCGACTTGAGCTCAGCGCTGCTGTGCTATCCACCAGACTCTTCCAGAAGGTAGAACAATCGATACGAGCCACGTTTGATGTTTTCTTCTGGACAGATTCTACCATAGTTCTCCAATGGCTCAATTCTACACCGAATCGCTGGAAAACATTCGTGGCTAATCGAGTGTCAACAATCCAGTCAAACACAGAAGGATATTCCTGAAAGCACGTTCCCGGAAGTGACAATCCCGCTGATGAATTATCGCGAGGCTTGACGCCTATTGATCTCCGTAACCAATCTCGATGGTGGAACGGACCATCGTGGCTCTCACAACCTCCAAGTCATTGGCCACACGCAAGCCTACCAGATGAAGAATACCCATCGGTCGCCGAAGAAGCACGCAAGGTTACATTAGTGTTACAACTATGTTCCCGCTATTCTACGTACAGCAAACTCCGTCGTATTGTAGCGTACTGTATCAAATACATCCAATCACTCAAGGCTGCAGTGCATAAGTCCACCGAAAACCAAACACTACTTCTCTCAACAACCAATCTCGTAGATGCTGATCATGCATTAGCCCGTCTAGCACAACAACAAACGTTCTGTGATGAGTTAGCTGAACTTCAAACCTCCTCCGTTGTGAAAGGTGCTCCGTTAAAATGGTTGAATCCTCACTAGAGTGACGATGGACTCCTCCGTGTTGGAGGCAGGCTTGAGCATGCTTGTGTATCAGAAGCAAGCAAACATCCTATCATCTTGTCAGCTAAACATCCGTTGTCTCGTTTACTCTGCGAACATTACCACAAGATTCTCCTCCACGCTGGTCCCCAGTTGATGATATCTACCATACGCGCGAAGGACCACAATGTTCGATCGTGGAGATCAAATTCGGATACCGGAGGTATTACTACCCGCTATATCTGATAGCGACACACCAATTTTTTTTTTTTTAATTCACCACTGTAGCACACTTTACTGGTATCACAATGCTCTTTCTTGTATAACCGTGGTGGGTTTTCTTCACCACGAGTCACCCACTGTGAATATCACGTTCGAAATTCACGATTTCAATCGATCCCGTGATCGATTTATTGTCACCTTTGGATAACACCGAGATAAGGTTCGGACTTCGAAAGATCACTCGAATTTACTGCACTGAGGGGGTTTGCCTTACTTGCTCGGAATAAAGGGAACGACTTGAGTTTGCTACCGGTTGCTTTGGCTTTATATTTTGTACTGATGGGATTGTGTAACTTTGTTTTCATTGAATGGGTTTTGCGTGTACAATAGCTTGTGGGTCGATCGTACAGTGTAGTGTATTATTGTGGTGATGGTTGGTGATTTAAGTATGTTTTCTGTTATTTAAATTTGTGTTAGCTTAACTACTTTAGTAGTAACCAGGTTTGAATTCATTGTGACTTAATGCTAAATATTTACAAATGTTGGGTGATATTTACAGATATTTACATGTGACCGTATACTTATCAGTGATCACAATAGAGGAAATCGATAGAGAATCGGCTTTCACCCTTCTGCTTCTATGCCCCTTGCAGTCGTCGTCACAGCAATGAAAACTAGCATCGCACCACTTTTGGTTCTAGGGCACTTGCTGGTTGCAATTTTAAGATCAGGATTGAATGAATGAATGATGATGAATGATGATGAATGATGATGATGATGGTCCCACCTCTTACCCCTACAAAGGTTTGAGCTGGACGAGTTATCTTTAAGATAATTAAATATAAACATTTTAACCAGGTTTGCAAACAAAATCGAGCTGGTTACAATTACAGATATAAATGTCCTGTTAAATATGTTAAAGGCATCAACCAAAAACATTCAAAGGTGTAACTAGTTATCAAAAGTCCAAGTATAGTCCTCGACAATACTTCCATTTACACGTGACCTGGGATTTACACGTTTAAGCTTCCGCAGTGCCAGGACTATATCCAAGGAAATGACTTCCAGCCAATCCTCTACTAATTCAAGGCTTTTGCCACAATTTCCACGTATTAGTCATTTATACCTGTATTCCGCGCGCGAGGCTCAAACCATTGTAGACTACTCAAAGCTATTTTTACTATTACTAAAACAAAATCAAAAAACTAAAAATCCATCATCACCATCGAGGCAAACAATGTAGTTTTTTGTATATGCTACACAAATTACTAAAATGTCTTGATGACAGTCTCCATACAAAATAATCCGTTAGTGATAACTTTGTCAAGATACATGATTTATCCATTCATAAAAATTTAACTGCTCAATAAACAGCTTTTACATGTGAAATGCAGCGTCTCTTGAATTCTGTAAGTGTAGTTGCACGCTTGATGTGTCTAGGCATCGAATTGAAAACATTTATACCTTTGAAAAATAATGAATTTTGTGAAGCATTATTCAAAAGATGTGGTGTTCTTACTTCATCCGCGTTTCTAGTGTTATATCTATGAAAATCACTTCCTCTTTCAATCCGATCACACAAATATCGAGGCAGCAAACCGTTAACTACTTTAAAAATGAACACCATAGTCAAAAACACAATTCTTTGCTTCACTGACAGCCATTGCAAAGCGTCCAGCATAAAAGTTGAGGAAGTGAATCTATTACATCTTAAAATCAAACGCATTACTTTATTCTGCAAACGCTGTAATCTCGATATTTGTGTTTCATTGGCCAAAAATAAAATGGAAGGGCAAAAGTCTAGATGAGGGGAGATGATTGATTTGTATAACTGTATTTTACTACCAATAGTTAAATCGTTTTTCAAGCGACATAGGATTCCATACTTCTTGGCAATTTTCTTGATGACATTGTCAATATGAGAATTGAACTTGAGTTTGTCATCAATAATCACGCCAAGATATTTAATTTCCTGAACGCGATCAAGTGTCTCATCATCAATAACGACAGAGACATCATCATCTACACGATTCCGCGAAATTACCATGAATTTAGTTTTACTTATATTCAATTTCAATTGTTTATACTTCAACCATCTACTTAGAGAACGCAAATCTTCATTCAAGCGTGAAACGGCTTCTTCTAAATCTTTAGCTGCAATGAATAACACAGTATCGTCAGCAAAAAGATTAATATCACAAAACCGTAAAACTCGTCGCATGTCATTAATATACATAATAAATAAAAGGGGCCCTAATACACTTCCCTGAGGCACTCCAAGGTCATTGTTAACGGGACAAGATACAAAATCATTAAAAACAGTCCTTTGTGTTCTGTCAGATAAATAGCTTTCAAACCATTTGTATGCAGAACCCGAAATTCCAAAGCGCTTGATTGTTCTCAACAATAAGGGCCTAGAAATTGTCTCAAATGCGCGTTTTAGATCCAAAAACACAGCAACAATCGTATCTTTATGCTCCAAATTTTCTTTCCATTTAGCTAACACTAAGTTTAACGCGGTTTCACAAGAATGGCCTTCCCGGTATCCCGATTGTTCCGGTATCAACAAACAGTTACTATTTAAATATTCTAACAGCTGGCCTTTTACAACAAGTTCTAAAATTTTCTCTAATGTGTGCAACATGTTGATGGGACGAAACTCTTCGGCTTTAATCGTCCCAGCAACTTTTTGTATAGGAACAACTAAAGATTCTTTCCAAATATGCGGCACGTGCCCAGATTGCAATGATTGATTAATAAGGTCCCGCAGAGTGTGTCGAATGACATGAAAGCAATCTTGAATAACTCTAGCATTAACATTATCTACTCCAGCCGTTTTTCCTAATGAAAAGCAAATATTTTTAAGTTCATCTAATGTAATTGGGTGAAAACCATTAAATCTACAATTACTATTAATCGGCTGTTTTATTTCGTCCGGTTCATTGATCAGTTCAATAGATTGATTGATCAGTGAAACGCTCTCGACGAAATAGTTATTAAACTTAGAAGCAATTACTGGTTCTGACTGTTCTAATATGCCATCAAAAGTTATGGTCCGCGATTTACAATTACTAGGCTTCATCAAAGATTTCAAAATTTTCCATAACTCTTTGCTGTTGTTTTGATGCTGATCAATTTTCCTCTGAATATATCCACATCGAGTTTTCTTGATTGATTGTGAATATTTATTACGCGCGACCGTGTACCTATTCCAATGATTATCACTATTAGATCTACAAAACTTTTTGTACCATTTGTCCCTCTTACGTTTAAGACGCAAAAGATCCAAATTGTACCAGCTGTTCGAGTTTTTCAAAGAAACAAACTTTTGTTCAACTAATTTATTGGTACAAGTTTTCAAAACGTTAGTAAGAACAGCTGCATCTTCATCTAAAGTTCCGGTAACTAATTGAAAATCCACGCTTCTCTCAACAAGATTCGAAACAGCTTGCTTCGAATATTTCCTCCAGCACTTCAATTTTACAAAATTATCGTTATCGTTAACACTGTCTAAAACATTAATTACTAAAGTTTCATGATCGGTTATTTTCAAATCAGCTTGAGTAACTGAACTGACAGAATCAAAATTAGAATAAACATGGTCAATCAAAGTTCTACTGTGCCGGGAAATACGCGTACATTCACTTACTAATTGTTTTAAATTAAAGAAATCAGCTAATTGCTTCAGATGGTTCGAATTGCTAGTATCATGCCAATTAATGTTAAAATCACCCGCAAGTATATTTAATTTACTAGAATCTAAAAATGTCTCGAACCAGTTCTCTAAAATTTCAATAATTCACTGTGATGCGATCAGTGAAAGCAGCAGAAATTTCCTTCCCAACTCTCTCGTGGAATCTTTTAATGGCTCTGAAAAGGGCCAGTTTTGT